AGAATCTGCCCTCTGGATCTATAACTGTATCGAGTACTGTGAAATTAATATTTTTATGTATTAAAATTGCTGCTCCCCTTTGTCTAGAATTATAACAAGCTGAGAACACATTAGGAAACTCAGGTGTTTTAAGTTCATTCGAACCTCTAAGAGGTCTGTGGGTCTCTTGTAATAGGACAACATCTGCCTGTAGTTTTTTGAGTTGGTTAAATATTTTTAACCTCTTTACTCTGGAGCCAGCTCCATTTATATTCCATGTAATGAACCTCAGTGTACCCATAGATGTTTGTGTATAACTAGGGATGTATGCTGTGTGCGTTGCTTAGACAGGTGGAGAGAATACGTCACTTGTTCATAAATAAAGAGAAGGAGAGAGAGAAAAAATGTGTGGCGAGATGCTCCCTGAGTCTGACTTTGTGTATGCATAGTTACTAATATGAGTAGGCTTGGCTTAAGTGTGTGTGTATCTTATATGACTGTGTGCGCTGTCTGACTGATGTAAATGTGCTGCCGTTGAGCGCATGGTGCGTATGTGTCGAAATAAAGGGTGTTGTTTGTGGATGAGTGTCGAAGCAGGTGATCGAGGCAGTGAAAGGAATAAAGAAAGAAACCAAGGACAGGGGTGAGCAGCATAAAACCAAGAGGGGGAAAAGAGAGGAGGGGAAAAAAAAAAACGAGAAGAAAAAAAAAAACAGAAACAAAACGTAAACATTCCAATTAAATCACTGACGGAGAGTGACGGTGTTAATTCTGCTATGAAATCACACTTTAAGATGCGATTTGATACTGGTAAGTTAAACAGATGTTAATGCAAGTTAGTGTGAGTGGATAGGGAAATGGTGTAGCTGATTCTTATCTGGTGTGAGGTTAATACAGCCACGGAGTGATGTTGGGGTCGCGGTGGAGCTGTCCGTCCACGTACAGCCGGTCCACAGCGATGACAGCGCGGGAACCCTTCTGGATGAAGCCGCGTCGGATTGGGAAGAGGACCCTGCGTCGTTCCAAGATCTCTTTGGGGAACTGGTCGTTCACGCTGAAGTCCGTTCCTTTTAATTCCCTGCCGCGGCTTTTCACATGTTGCTTTTGTTTGAAGTGGCAGAATTTGGCCACGATAGGACGTGGTCTCCCGGCCGTAGCCCAAATGGGGCCGAGGCGATGTACCCGATCGAAGACGATGTTCTTCACAGTGTCCTCCGGCAGCTTCAGGTGGGTTTTGATGAAGCTTTTTACCGTGGTCTCCGCGTCCTCTCCAGCGGCTTCTGGAATACCAGAAAATACCAGATTATCACGCATGCTACGAGCTTGTAGATCGATAACTGTTTCTTTTATTTTTTTTATTTTCTCTATTGAGCTGGGTAACATTTTCTGTGAGACATTTCACCGACTCCCTTAGCGTGGCAAGCGTTTCCACCTGCTGCTGGCTGTACTCCAGGGATTCTCGCAAGCATTTAAATTCTCGGTGAAGAATCTCCACCAAGGACAGCCTTGCGTCGAAACTGGACAATCGCTTGTCGACTGACTCCAATATGTCGGCAATATCTTTGCCGGCTGGCGATGTTGAGCCGGGGGAATCTGCCGGGCGTTGTCTTTTCGACGACGGCGTCTCAGCTTTGGCCGGGGAAGCTGCACACGGGGTCTTCTTCATCACGAGATCCTGAAAGCACTGATCGATGTAATCTTGGAGAGTCTCTAAACTCTCCTCGTTGTTCTCCAGGGTGTTGGAGATTATTTAGACAAATAGTGTTAGTTATAAGACAATTGATAAGTGTATTTGGTAATGCTGAAGCTTAAATGAATTTGTTCAAATCTAAACTACCATTTGCTTTAATTTTCCGCCAAAATCTCCGGCGTCTGACGTCAGTTACAACATGAGTCGCTTACCTTGTCCGTCACTTACTCACCTGCCCGTCACTTACTCAACATGTTCTTTATTTCAACTGTTAATTGGTCTTGTTTAGAACTTACCTTACCTACCTGTCTTCCAGAAGCAAAAGCCTTTATCTTTACTTCTGCCAGAATGTCCAGGATGCTCTGACAGTTTTCCTGAATACTCTGTTGTATTGTCTGTAATGCACATCCTGTTAGATGTGCTTCTATTAACAGTTTGTCTGTTACATTGATGGGACTGCGAGTCCCTTCAAATCAGAGGCTGGTTAATTTGCTACGGTAATATACCCCATATGCTTACAAGCTGGTAGTTCTGGATCACTTAAGTATAACTGATTGTTTGTCATCTTACTCTTTTTCTTCCCTCGTTTTCTTTGCTTCTACCTTCTGGAGAGCCTCCACTGCCGTAGGTTCATGAATTCTCTGTCTGGTTTGATTGTTGTTTTTTTTCTTTTTCTTGGCACAGCTGGTGTTCCAAGGTGCGGGGAAAACTGGAGGGCTGGCGTTGTCGGCTGTCAGTTGTTTCAACAAGACAAGCACAGAAGTATAGAGCACGAAGAACAACAAAATGTGCTACTGAACTTAGTGTCTGAGGTTTCTTGGGTTATATATCAGAATTGTGCAAATAGACTATAGTTTGAGTTCCATCAGTAGACAAGAAAGAATTCTATAAAAATTATTGCTGTCATAATATTATGCAGTTCTGTCCAGAAGACAAGTGTTTAAAATTTTCTTCCTAATGCAAGAAAAATGCATTCGATTTTTTTTTTTTTAACTGGTCTTTAGTAATAGTTCTCCATCCTTCCTGAAGGTTTTTAAGTTTTTTTAATGGAAATATTTCTTTAGTCCTTGTTGTTTACCATTTTTAGAGAGATGTTTTTTCTTTTTTTTAAGCGACTTAACACTGAGATTTGTCATTCGAGCATAAAATAGCAAAGCTTAACCTCTACATGTATTAGACGACCACATAATTTGTTTCTATGCCTATGAATGTAATAAAAAGATGACAATGATGACACAGTGTGACCTTAAAAATACGAGGGAACCGGACAAGTGGAGGACAAAAGAAGAAATGGCAGGCCATAAAACTATCTACGGCAGATTAAAAACTATCTGAAAGTCATGTCCTTACGAAACATGAAAAAAAATCCAGTGAAGACCTGACACGATTCTTCATTGATTGATCTGTTATTTGTTGAAGTCTCATCAAAAATGGTCTCAATGGAAGGCTGGCGGTAAAGAAACTATTCTCATGGGAGAGAAAAGGCTGAGATATATCAAATTACACAAAAGGATCTGACTGAAAATCAGTAACAACAGGTCTCAAAGAATGATTTTAATTTTTTGGCTTAAACTTCCAATAATATGTTTGAAGAATGCCAAGAGCGAGATACAACACCGAGTGTCTAGAGCCATCTGTAAAAGACAGTGGAAGTTCTCTCATGGTTTGGGGTTCTGCTTATAAATGCAGAAAGGTACAGTCATTCAGTTGATCCTCTATCCAATACCTTTTGGAAAGCATCTGAATGGCTTTATTTATCAGCATGACAATGACCCTAAACACACTGCCAAAACAATAAAAGCATACCAGATGGAAAAACACACAGTGGAACTCTATCAGTGCTGGATTTGCCTCCTCAGAGCCCGGATCGCACCATTATTGAAGGAAAGCAAGTGAAGCAAGTGTAAGATGATTTGGTAGTTACTTCCTACATACTTGCAACATAAGATTAAATAGCCCACACAGTTATTTAGTACTTTTATTAAGACAATGCGATTCATAATTCAATCCACACAAGGTGGTACAAAGTGTTAATATGCTTTGTGATGTTGATATCTGTGCAGAGATCTGACAATATACTTCAGTTATGTTTCTGTTGGTGCAGCAAAATATCAAGGTGTTTGTCATCTATTCACAATAACTAATGCATTGTATTAATTGCTGCAAATTGATGCAGGCAAGTGACAACCTCCTCTTTAAATGTCAAAAGAGTTAGCAACCACTTTGCCTTATTTACTGTAATTGGATAGTCATTAACACTGCCGCAAATAGGGGGAAATCAGTAAAGCACGATTTTCCTCAAATACTGCCAGAATTATTTTGGTTCACGAGTCCACGGTTTTGAATCAATTTGTGCTAATTTGTGTGGCAATTTGGCACAAACTGCTTTTCAGCCAGTTTGCTCTTAAAACCTCTTTAATGCTTGCTTTTCTTAATCCAAGCTCTGTATTTCTTTTATATCTTGTGCATTTGTCTTAACTCGGCCATTTCTTGTTTTGGCACAGGCTTTATTGACGCTTAGTACTATTTTTGTTGGAATGTTAGTATAATGTGATGAAAGCACAATGTCATTTGCAACCACAAGATGAAACACTTTGCTGACAGTTTCACATTTGCAGATGAAATGGAACCTAATATGGTCTGACAGACTTCGGGGACCCCGGGCAGTTCTCATGTCAAAGCAGAATAATGAAACCTTGAGCCTTTAGCTGCATTCAGGGAATCTTTCATATTTGTTGCCAGTTGTTTATGTACAGCCACAATAAGGAGGTTTTCTCTGATTGCCTTGGATTCTGCCGTAAATTCCTAACTTCCACACTTTTCTTTCTGCACTCCCTTTATTGTGATTTTCTTTTAAATTTATGTTTTCTTAAGTAAAACTACTTCAGTTATCGCTGTCTCTCTTTTTCTCCGTGGTCAAACAAAAACGTCAGTGGGATCTGGCTTCATCTTTGTTGGTGTATTTGAAAATAAATCTGCGTTATTGTAAGTTTAAAGTTCGTACTTACAAAGAAAATCTGCCTTTCGAAATGCCGCTCAGATCTTTGATGTTGCCAACTTTTGATTAAATATCGGCTCACACAACTTTTAAAGCTTAAATTTCCCGGCGGCCTCTGAAGGCACCAGCAGCCCAGCCGCTGTCAAGAGGAGAATCTCTTTTTCTTCTTTTATCTACGCGTGGTAAATGATGCCGCGCGCTGATTGGCTGTCGGCCGCTGACTTGTGCTCCATCCCGCAGGCCCACTCTCTCAGAGCCGAGCTGAATGCTCAGTCAGCGCTCCTCCCGGTGATCCCCGACACCGCTGGCCGCCGCTTCTCGCCACACACGCTCACACATACACACTCTCGTGTGTGCGCACCGCGTCTGCGCGCACCACCGGCTTCTGCAACTTTCCGACTTCACCTGAGCGAGCAAAGCAGGCGGACAGAACCACTAAACAATGCGTGCCAACTGCACTATGCGCTACCACAGGTTACTACTTTTGCGCTCATTTAGGAGGTAACGGAGGAGGTGTGAGCTTGCATGCCATCACCATGGATTGCCTTTTTCTTCTGTTATGGACTTTACCAATCCCGCTGGTCGGCTGCACCTCAGTCAAGCTACTCTCCACCCTCTTGTCCTGGAGTATTTTCAAGGCATGTTGCACTTACATACGAAAAATATATACGTGTGCACTTTTAAATTCAGCACATGCACGTGTAGTTTGCGAGAAAAAAACCAAACAAGCAGTTGTCTCTTATCAGCAAGACTAAATCAGCGACAAACTTGTCTAATCACATTCATTGCGGTGAAAAGTGATCCCAAATTAATCTCAAGTGCAACTCATATTTCAGTAGAGGAACTCGATATCCCCTTTTGGCTCCCAGTTTTCTGCTGCTTGTAACCTGTTGCTACCTGTCCATTTATGATTTTTTTCTTTCAGACGCTGCACATTTACTGCTCACAGGCCTCCCACACCGTTTCAGCCAGCTATTCTTCCAGCAACAGCCACGGATTAAATCATGGTGAGTGCTTGTCTTTTCACATCTGAGGATGTTTCTTCCAGCTGGCTGTATTCCATGTTTATAGGGAGAAAGTGAATAAAGTGAGATAAATGCCAACATTGAATCAGTTACTAGACCAGAGTGTTAAACAGTGAAGAATATTACTTGTTACACAGTGTGACATGACTACTGCTTATGTGGATGGAAATGATAGAAATGCTTGTTTACATGAACCAGTGAGTGCAGTACTTATTCAAAGACTCCCTTTTCTGTCCTCCGCTTTCCCGAATGTGATTTACATACTTTTGTTTACTCCCAGCACTTTTTCCAGAGGTATACTATAGAAAGGTTTGGATGCTGAAAATAACAATGATGAAAGAGAGATAGATGTTTGAATGAAAATGACACCTTGGTGATTCCACTGGCACATATAAGCAAGGAAGAAGACAGCACTCCCACTTGGTCAAATTATGCATATTCTAAATTATACTGAAAATTGTAGTTAAAACATGATGTCTTTGTGCTAAAGTATTTGACATCAGAATTTTTTGATGTAGTCTTTCTATCCCTTATCATCCCTTATCATCAGACTACGTATTTGTAACCCCTGTGGAAGTGGACTCTCAGGGAGCGTACCTGACCCATGATGTGACCAGGCGAAGCCATCGCGGCAAAAGGTCCTTGCCTCCTTCTCTGCACTATCGCCTCTCTGCCTTTGGGCATGACATGCACCTTCACCTGCATCCATCTTCTGTGGTTGGCCCTGGGTTCACTGTGCAGATGATCAGCTCAAATGGCATCACCACAGCAATGGATGATGCAAAGGTTCACAACTGCCTTTATCAGGGATTTATCCGTAACCAGTCGGCCTCCTCTGCAGCCATATCGACATGTTCTGGACTGGTAAGTGTCAGTAACCTCTGGCTGAGCTTTTGTTACATGAAAAACTGAGTCATTTTATGTTTTACCTCAATTATATGGTTTTATTCTTAAACTGATTACATGCTTCTACTTAGTTCAAGAAAGGCTGACAAAACACTTCTAAGTCAATTTAGATGATTTCACAACCCTAATGGGAATTTTTTTTTTCAGTTTCTGATAAGTTTGTGGAGCGAAAAGGCTGTCACACAGCAGATTTTGCACTCCACCCCTACCTCAAGTTCCATGCCTTTATTTGTCCTTGAATGCTTCGTGTCCTCTAGCATTCCAGCTGTTTTGATGCACCATTGTCAGACTTTGGTCATATCATGGGTGAACTGTAACATGACATCATTACCCATGAGTGTATGCATCAGTTTCGGTGCTTTGTCTGGAACTGCTTTGAACACAGGGAGGAGAGGACATAAGAGAAAGAATAAAAGGAAAAGAGCAGAAGAAGAGAGAAAAGTTACACTGCTACAGGACAGTACAGTGAAAAGGCCATAATTTAGTCAGGGATGTCATCACTTTTTCCTTGACCACTGTGTTACAGTGTAATTTTGGCCATTGCTCAGGGCAGTTTTCTTCAACCACTCGCCCAGTGGTGTACCTTGTAAGTAATGGTATAGGTCAACATTTAGGAAAAGGCATTACAGATTACAAGATAATATCAACACGGTCCTTGTGAGTTTTACTAAAGAAGATTCAGGACAGGGATAGCTCAGATAGCCTAGTTACTTTAGCACTCTGGAAAAATTTGCTTTGGAGATGCTCATATGGATCCTGCTGCTGTGTGATGCCACAGCTCTGTAATAAACTCAAGGGAGGGACTCCACAAACACAGCTGGATGCAACAATGTAAATCTTTTCATAAAGCATTAATTACCACCAAGTCAAAACAATGAAATCTGTCCATGTGCATATGCATACATCCACTAGTGGCATGCAGTGTGTGTCTTTTGTGCCTTTTGGTCATCTATAAGCTTCACTATTTTCTTTGGTTTATTAGATGTTTAAAAGATCACATTCAGTGTTTGACACATACCATACCAGCATGGACCAGATGGACATATTATACCCCCATAAATGCCATACTTACATTTATCATCTAAGCTCCATACCTCGTCTTACCTACTCCTCCTGCGCTTGCCCTCCTCTTTTGTCCTCTGTTTGCCCTCCCTCTACATCTCCTCTTGTTCACAGCAATTAAAGCCAGGGTGAAGTTTGAGCCGCCTGGCTGGCACTGCTAATCTTTGCATTGTCCCTTTCATTAGGCTAGCTCCCACTAACAATAAAACACCACTGACCCGTTCGCTTAAAAGAGCTGCGAGGACACAGTGTGATTGGGTTGTGATTGCATTTGAATGAGTTGGTACAAACACTTTGATCTATTTTTTACTCTTCTTGAACATTTGCAAGTTTTTGTTTTCCTCTTCAAGTCCGACCACTGGGCCACTGATGGATGTTTTGTTATCGTTATATTTCTAGCAGATAAACAGAGTTTTCTCCAAAATAAAATAATTAAGTAAGACACAATGACAAGTACACTGAAAAGATACTCTGGTACCAACCATTTACTCTGTCTCTTTGTAAAAATCAGTCTGTCTGTGTTAAATTGCTACGAGCTTTAGGACAATAAAGACATTTAACCCCTTCTTTTCATCTAGCCCTCTGCTTAGAAAATTTGGATTAGGTATAAATGAGGAAAGAGTCATTCAAGTGTGCTGACTGCACTGATGGGCTTGAGTAAAAGATTAAGGTGGGATTAAAGACATTGGTTGAAGGAAGAAAGGAAGAAAAAAAGAGGAAGACAAGGATACAAGAGAGAAAATGGAAAAGAGGGTAAAGTAATGAATGAAAAGTGAGCTGGGTCAGGTTGGGAGGCAGCACACGAGAGAAAGTGTTGTGCAAGAGTAATGTGAATTTATTGTCTGTGGTTCAAGCTCCCAGGGAGGCTGGATAGTCTCTTTATAGAGAGTTGGAGAGATGGGCTCTGTTTATGTCAAAGGGCTTTGGAGAAGAAATGAGGTGAGAAGAAGTGAGGTGGAGATAGGAAGAAAAACGTTTTCTCGTGCTTTGTTTCATTGTCTCCTTTCAACAGAAACAAGGAAATGGAAGAAAAGGGAAAAGACAGTGTCTGAAACAGAGCTGTGGACCTTGCGTTTTAATAAAAGCAGAGGTTTCAGCACCAGACCCCGGGCCAAATAAGGGCTGGGACATTTTCTTTTTTAAACAGATGGGAGTGGGATTCAACTGTTAAAATGAAGACCAGGGTGGTATTAAGAGCAGAGTGGGATAGCTGGATGAATGACTTGCATAGTGGGATTTTCTACTGTAAATCCTTATTAATTGAACATGGTGTTATTTGTTGGGTTTAATCACTTTCTCCATGACCTGTAAAAGCACCTTCTGTTCTTGAATGAACCAAAGTTGTCTGCCTCACTTTTGCATGAGAGATGAAAGGATGCCTCTTTAGATGTAATGCTCTCTGATTTGTAAGAGAAGTGGATGGTGTTGGGGGTTGGGGAGGGGTCTTCTCTCTTTCTTCTTTTGAAGGTTTCTCGTCTGAGGTCACTGTGCTGCTTGACCTAAATTTTCTATTCATTGGTGTATGTGGGGGTTGGTGGGACTTAACCTGAACTCTTAACAGGTCTTTACAATGTTCAAGTTCAGTGCTGCTCACCACCTGTGTGAGTCCAGAAAACAAATGATTTATAGCTCCCCTTTGTCTTTCTAGCACCTTCCCAGGATAGGAAACTCCTTACTGGGTAAGCACAGCAGATCTGAATTCTGTCCGGCCTGTACTATTCTCTGCCAACCCTTAGAAATACAACATTAACACATGATGCATCTTAAACCACAGTTAAAGTGGTTTGAAGTGGTTTAAGATGCATTGCCTTGTAGTAAATTTGCAGTACCTTGTGAAGTATATTGTGGTACATTTGTAAACATTTTCGACTTGAGCAGTGTGACTGCTCTAAATAGCATTGTTTGTGACTTGGCAGTGTTCAGAACTTAAATGTTTGAGCGTCAAATACACCCCCCATTAGGCTGGTTATATCAGATAGTGGTATAGCTGACCATGACCTTTACTACAACCTTTCCCAAGACCCAACAGGCCAGGTCAGAGTCAGCCTGAGCTCTCTGGTCTTCATTGGCTTAGGTCCAGATAAACTAATCCATTTTTTCTTCTCTAGGATTTCTATAGTTCATAAGTTGATGCAGCAAACATGCTACCCAATGACCTATTGTTTCTACTTGATAGTTAAAGCAGAAGAGGTAAAGTGTAGATGGCCATTATAGGACCATTTAGAGCTACGTCTGTCCGTTTTTTGTCAGTTTTTAAAATAAAGACCATCAGACATGTACCCCACTATTTAAAGTGATATACTTTAAATGAGGCCTGTGTCCCAGGCTAAGCTAATATATGTCCCAGGGAAGCCTTTTGCTAACAAGTAGGTAGTCGTGAAAATATCATATACCTTCATTTCCCACAGAGTATATTTTCTGCAATAACCTGAAGTCTCGTGGGAAAAGCACCTTTGGATTTTTGTCATGGAACCAAGACATTTTGTCTCTATAACCGATGCACTGTTGAATTTCTGAATGGTCAAGTACTTGGGTGAAACCACATTGCACACTGACTTGAAGAACATTCTTGGTCAGTCAATTTATGCTACTGTGGTTGTATCCATTTGTGGAGTATTTGCCTATGGACCCTATGGACAAAGGTTTTCAGCCAATACAAACATGCTCCCAAGCAGTCCTGCAAACACTTTGTAAGTTATAACTTTGCTCTTCTTTGCGGCTGGTTGATGGACAAACAACAGCACAACCATAAGTAGACCACAGACAAGTAGTACTACATATTTTTGACACTGACCCCTTTTGACAGCTGATACTTTGTAGGTGGAGAGGCAGTCCAGAGCTGCCCACAGCTGTCAATGGACTGTCCACACACTACTGAGCCGTAATTTCCTCATAACATGTCTGTTAACCTCATGAATGAGACCTCTTGGATCTTTATTAGGGTCGTAATGATCCAGCAACCCCCCAGGTACCACAATTTATAGCTTAAAGATGTGTTTGAACAATCAAGTGTGAGAGTAAAAACATTAAACAAAGTGTCAATACACACCTCTCTGTCTTTCCTCCATTCACTTTCATCCTTTCAGGAAGGTCAAACTCAGTGTTTGATAGCCATCGTTGACACAGCTCTGAGGCTTGTGGCAAGCACCGGTGACTGTTGTAAGAGGAGAGCTGAACTTACACCCTCTGTTCAACTCCACCAGGCGTGGGACTCCCTGTGGCGTGAAGAAGATGCTTGCTCTTTTCCCAGGCGTTGTTATTGATGCTGGATGTACTTTGTTGTTGTTGAACACTTCACACTGTGAATATATGAGAGGTTGAGCTTCATTTCTTTTTGTGAAAATGTGACATCGTCTCTTGCTAAATTTTTACTGACATCAAATTCCAGTCAAGAGTTGGTTGTTTTTTTTATTGAATAGTGATGATTTAAAAATTAGTCCTACCCAAAGATGTTGTGTGGGAAAATAAACCTGAAAATGACACTATTTAGCCAAACAGGACATTGAAGTGCTTGCTTGCGCTGAATATTCAACATATTGTAATCCTGTTAGACTCCTAATGGGGCTGAGACAGCATATGATTACTCATCCACAGGGTTGGAATGTAGACAATATATGATGTGTGCTGCCAATCCCTTAGGCTTTTGGAGAGTTAAAGTGACACTTGAATGACCGATTTCCGGACAACTTTTGGGCTATTTGTACCTGTCCATTATCTGTAAAGCCCAGCAAATTGGAACATCTTCCCACTACAACATACTTCCCTGGCTTGGCCATAATTCAGCGACTGGGCCGGGCCACAGAGGAGCTCAGATCTTGGCGCTACACGAGTAGAGTGGCCCGGAGCTTTTTCCCTGGTGGTCTGGATGCTGACAGTGATGTAGTGCCCGCTGTTAG